AAAGGCCTTCAGGTCTGGCTGTATTAGGATGGTGAAAGTAATGGTACAGCATTGTAACAGTGGATAAGTACTGAGAAATAATTTTAAACTCATAGTTGCTGTCGACATAGGAAGTAAAGTAAGCAAATAACACCGAATAAACGGCAAGGCACGCACGCAGTACGTATTTACTATAATTAGACATAGTCTTTACCTTGCCGTTTATTCGGTGTTATTTGCTTACTTCACTGTTAATAAGATCAGTGACGTCATTATAATTGCAAATATATTTAATACAGCAGGGTTGTTTCGAATCAATGCCGAACTCACGTGGTCGACACATTAACACAAGCTGTACCGTGTTTCACTGGAAATGGCTTGCGAACACACAGGGAGATAATACTGAGTCATGACACATGTCTGCTATTCTGTGTATCGTGTTCTTGCCAATAACATATTTTTAGTATGCTTAGATGTATGCTGACTAGGTGTGTATTTCTTCTCGATACACAGTTCAAACGTAAACCAAGCAGAGAGGTTACAGGACATTCAGGATATCACATTTACAAATAAAATATTTATCTCCAAAACCTTGAAAATTGAAAGATTATTTCAGCAAGTATGTTTCAATGACACATCACACAATATGGCGGTTTTGATGAGGTACTCAGGCATAATGTCACATGATAACAAAGTATGTATACCAACCGACTTTCAGATCAACTCATTCATGCGGATAGAGCTTCTTTATTGTGCATAAACGGACAATGAAAACAATCATCCATAATTCTTTATTATGCATTAATTAAAACAAACATATAACAACTTTCTCGCAATTCTCAAGATAATTCTGAGCTGTGTACACACCTTTCACTCCCAAGCACGCTCGTAGAATATGCAAGACCATGTAAATATTGTATGATGGTGACAGCGATCAGTGTACCAAGAAACGTGTCGCAATGATGAGTTTGGTACAATTAATCAATACACATTAATATTATATAAATCAATGTAATATTTTGAAAGCTGTATAATCAGATATAGATTGATAAGCTTACTTCTATTTATTATTTTAATATCGATGTACTATGTAATGCACTGGTGGAACCTGACCGCATTAATAACGTATGTATCCAAAACATACGACAGTTGCTGCATACCCTTACACTATGTATCGGTGAAACTAATTATCTAAAAGCTATGCCTATTAAATCATGTTATTATAATCAATGATTGATGTTAACACTCATTTAGACAATTTTCGGGCTCAATCCTTCATTGGTGTCAAAATAGCCACAGATCCAGTGCAATTAGAATTAATGACATCTTGTTTTCCAAATACAATGTTCTTGTGGAAACGTTTCGTTGGCAAACACGTAAGCTCTTTCTGAGTGAAACAGAAATAATACATTTTATTATAACTCGAATTGTGATCAAACTAATAAACCCTGTACCCATGATATTATGGTGACTAACACGCAAGAATTTGAGTTTCACTCATATCCAGTCTCAGACCTAAGCGAAAAAGGATATGCTACATTTTAAAACACACATGAATACTCTTGCAGTACTTCTGTAAGATGTTTCTATTGTGGTGTAATTATGTAATATTAAACATCTGTCACCGTAACGCCATAAGTTACAGCGTGCCGTAATTTTGCGGTATTTTACGGGGTATTTTCATACTACCATATTAGGAAATGCGAATTCCAAATATGGAATGATTACGCGCGTAAGCGTCCTCTAATAATAAAAACAAACATGGCTGCCACCAGGATTTGACCGGACTCCACACAAATAAGTTCGCTGATTCT